ATTCCGCAGTCGGTAACGACCGACTGCAACCTTCTTACTTGTTATACTCATTCACGAAAGTGAATCAGTATATTGGTTTTGTGAAATGTCAGTCTTGCTGTCCGTCCGTCCGTCTGTCCGTCTGTCCGTATGAACGCAATCTATTTCGGCGCTATTGATGCCAGAGACTTTAAATTTGGAACACATACTCCTGTATATCTCCGATTTATAAAGTGTTAAAATTTTCCCGATCCGCCACTAGGGGCGTGGCAAATCGGATAATGCATTTTCCGATATACCAGAAATCATGTTTGTTGAAAAGCCAGAAAGCTGAAATTCGGTATGTAAGTCCGCGTCGACCACCTAAGATCACGAGCTATGGCGGATATATCTCCGCCCATTGGGGGCGTGGCAAATCGGATAAAACTGTATCTCCTAAAGTTGTAAACCTAGAATGCTGAAATTTCGCATGTCAGCTAATGTTATGATTCTATAAAGTCTAAGATTATAAGTCTACGCCCATTAGGGGCGTGGCAAATCGGACCTAAAGATATAGTGATTTTTCGAATTCTGCTATATTTTGGACACTATTGATGCCAGAGATCTCAAATCAAAGTATAATAGCTAGAAGCTTTAAATTTGGATAGTTGAGTTACTGGTAGCCTCCTCTATCGATTCCCAAAAAATAATTTTTACGCCTCTTTAGGGGCGTGGCATATCGAAAAATACCCTGTAATTTTCACTTTTTTGAGAGTAAGCATTCGAACTTTGCAGTTAGGGTACCGTTATCTCGTTCTAAAAACTGACCAAAAATGAGGTGTCTACTCCCAGTTGGGGCGTGACAAATCGGAAAAACCTGTATATTCTACAGTATTAGAGCTAAACTTAACTACTAAATTGTTGATGGGGTGTGAATGAGTATTCCGCAGTCGGTAACGCCCGACTGCAACGTTCTTACTTATTATACCCTGAACCCATTTTCAATGGGAAATCAGGGTATAATGGTTTTGTTGAAATGTATGTAACAGGCAGAAGCCGGCGTGGCAGACCCCACAAAGTATATATATTCTTGATCAGGGTGACGAGCTGAGTTGATTTGGCCCTGTCCGTCTGTCTGTCCGTCTGTCCGTCTGTCCGTATGTATGAACGCGTCGATTTCAGAAGATATAAGAGCTAGAGACTTCAAATTTTTTTTTTAAATGTCCGTAATTACAGCGCGCATATCAAGTTTATCATTAAAAATCGATAAGTCATCTCGATCTTTTTTATCGATAAAAAACCTTATCGAAACCCAGTTATAAAATTATATCTTCTACACCTTTATTGCGAGAGTCTCCAAATTTTTAATGTATGCTTATATGCAATTTATACAATTTCGGTTTTTGTTAAAATTTACCCCCACCTCTAAATTCACCCCCTCACCCTCACTTTTGTAAAAAGCGTATTTCAAATACTAGAATCTTGTGCTTTGGCAATTACATGCATATTCATGTTATAATCATAATCTAAAAGTTTCATGAAGATCATACGTCCATAAAAAAAGTTATTAAACAATTAAGTTCTCATAGTAAGCGTGTATGTGTGTGTGTATGCGTTTGTGTATGTATGCGTGTGTGTGTGTCTGTCTGCGTGTGTGTGTATGTATGCCTGTGTGTGCGTACGTGCGTGTGTGTGTGTGTGTGTGCGTGTTTCTTGTGTAAGCTGAAAGTCGCGAACAAGTATTGAAATATCTATTGCTCCCAGGGTTCAGGGGATCTCGTAGTCGAGCAGTCTCGACTAGAGCTTTCTTACTTGTTTTTACTTATTTTTGTTTGCACGAATATCTTGGTTTTCTTTGAAAAGTTATAAAATTACTTCAAAAATATTATTAATAATTTTGAATTTTATTCGCGGTGCTTAAACAATTTTAAAACAAGTAAGAAAGCTATAGTCGATACTGTTCGACTACGAGATCCCCTGAACCCTTGGAGCAATAGCTATTTCAATAATTGTTCGCGTCTTTCAGCTTACACAAGAAAAACGCACACACGAACACACAGGCATACATACACACACATACACACCGGCATACATACACACACATACACATACACACACGCATACACACACAAACGCATACACACAAACGCATACACACACACATACACAAACACATACACACACAAGCATCCACGCATAAAAACGCATGGGCTGCAGTGTGCGCTTACTATGAGAACTTAATTGTTTAATAATTTTTTGTGGACATACGATCTTTATGAAACTTTCAGATTATGATTACAACATGGATATGCATGTATTTGCCAAAGCACAAGTCTCTAGTATTTTAAATACGCTTTTTACAAACATGTGGATGGGGGGTAAATTTTAACAAAAACCGAAATTGCATAAATTGCATATAAGCATACATTTAAAATTTGGAGACTCTAGCTATAAAGGTGTAGAAGATATAATTTTATAACTGGTTTTCGATAAGGGTTTTTATCGATAAAAAAAGATCGGGATGAGTTATCGATTTTTAATGATAAACTCAATATCCGCGCTGTAAATACGGACATTTAAAAACAAAATTAGAAGTCTCTAGCTCTTATATCTTAGAAATCGACACGTTCATATATACGGACGGACGGACGGTCAGACAGACGGACACGGCCAAATCGACTTAGCTCGTCGCCCTGATCAAGAATATATATACTTTTTATACATTTCAACAAAACCATCATACCTTGATTTCCCATTGAAAATGGGTTCAGGGTATAAAAATGTTTAAAACCTAAAACTAGTTTTAAGAAAACCCTTTTTAAATTACCGATGGAAACATCGATGGTATCGATGGTTTTTTTCATCGCTGCAAAATCCATCGAGTGGTGCTACCACCGATGGATTTCCAGCTCTACTGCGGATGTACATATGTGAGTGTGTGCATGTTCCCTATCTTGTGTAAGCAGAAATGAAATGAATATTTATTGAAATATCAGTTGCTCGAAGGGTTCAGGGGATCTCGTAGTTGAGCAGGCTCGACTAAAGCTTTCTTACTTATTTTCATAAAGAGCTTGATTTGATAAATACGCGTATGTACATAGATACGCACACACTAGCTTTCAACGGAATGCGTTGCATAAACACGAACATATTCGATGACCAACTTGGGATGCTTCCATGTTTTGGTAATATCTGATAGTTTATCCTCAAATGATATTGCTCCCCTGGACGGGTTAAAAAATTTCATATCTCCCAGATTAGAGCTGTGTTCTGTGGGGAAATTCAGCACACCTCCAGCAGTCAAACCCAGTACGATGTAATGCTGTAATGTAATGCTAGACTTGGTTATTACCTACCATATAGCAATTTAAAATTAATTTATCTCATTTTTATTTATCTCTTCCAAAATCGAGGGATGGTCAATTGTACCGTATTCTTTCCCATCCACTTTATATATAAGTCGATCCCGATGTCGTATCAATGTATAGTTATGAAAATGATGTCCATAATGTTCCCCCGTTTCGAGTTTATGGCTCCTTAAAAAATCATACATTTCGGTCTGATTTCTTAAGACGCTACCATAAAGAGTATTTCCTCCCAATGCGTTGCCGGAGCCATCGAATAGCTGAAGATTGCCTCGCGCATATGCGATGCGAATGTGCAGATCAGAAATATAAAACGATTCGAACTCGACGTTGCTTGGATACATATATTATAATATTAATGTATTTATATATTAACAAGTAAGAAAGCTCTAGTCGAGACTGCCCGACTACGAGATCCCCTGAACCCTTCGCGCAACTGATATTTCAATAATTTTTCGCACATGAACGCACACAGAGTCATACGCACGCACGCATGAAAGAATATATGTATATATATACTTTGTGAGGTCTGCCACGCCTCCTTCTGCCTGTTACATACATTTCAACAAAACCATTATTCCCTGATTTTCCATTGAAAATGGGTTCAGGGTATAATAAAGAAACAGTACATGCATACACACACGCACACATAGGCATAAGTACGCACGCATAAACAAGCATTGGCTGCAGTGTGGGCTTACTACGGAAACATAATTGTTTAATAACTTTCTTTATGAAACTTTTAGATTATGAAATTTGGGAGTAAGATTCTAGCTCTAAAGGTGTAAGCCTGATATTCGCACTATATAGACGGACAATTTACAAATTCAAGTCACTAGCCCTTATATCTTCTGAGATCGACGCGTTCAAACATATGGACAGACAGACGGGCAGGGCTCGACTCAGCTTTTCGCCCTGATCAAGAATATATATTCTTTGATATACCTTGATTTTCTATTTGGAATGGGTTCAGGGTATAACAAGTATGAAGGTTCTAGTAGAGACTCGTCGACTATGAGATACCCTGAACACTAAAGCTTATATTCTAATCATTCTGCACTTATGAGTACGTTAGCATCGACTGCGCTTGGGCAGCATTATAGTATAGTATTATGAGAATTTATTGGTTGAATAATCTCACTTGTAGTACGACTATCTTTATGAAACTTACGGAGCGTGATCATATGGTTAACTAGCTTTTAGTAAAATACAAAATAAAAATTCACAAATATAGATAAGAATTTAAATATAGTTACAGGGAAAAAGCCAATCTCCGACCGGAAATTTAGCACGTATCTCGATCTTTCCATATTTAAATAAGATTGCTTTCTTAGTTGTTATTGCTGCAGTGTGCACAGGCGGCAGAATCGTATTAGTGCCCCATGTATAAGGTCCAAGGATAATTAAATACTTCTTCTTTTTTCTTTTTTTCCGGCAAAGTTGCATATAATATAATGTGTTATTTTCTAGATAGCAGTTTGTTTTATTTTGCCGCGAATTCCACATGGTTCGTATATACCCGTGAGTACTGAACATGAGTCCAATTTTTTGACAACTTGTAATCACTGAAAGTTTCCTGAAAAATGAGTTGGCCACTGCACACCGGCTGTGATTCATCTGAGTCAGATTCCGCCAGAAAAAAATTTAGCTTATCATCGTATCACATGTGTTCATTTCATTGAAATCTATAATGTGGTTTTGGCCATGACCATTGGCATCAATTTTAAAATTATTACTTGCTGCTAAGACTGCGTCTTCTGTTTCAATTATTCTAAGCATCCGCAACGTATCAATTTCGTTTGAGTACTGATTGCCTTTTAGTATAATGCTTAACGTTTCACTGTTCTTGAAGTAGTAGTATTCCGGATTACATTCATTCCCCATTTTAGTTGAAATAAACATTGATTTGACATCTGGATCATCTGCGAAAAAAAATGTATCAAATATTATTGAAATATTATCAAATATTATTTATCAAATATTATCACCGAAATAACAAGTAAGAACTTTGCAGTCGGGCGTTACCGACTGTGAAATACTCATTAACATCCCATCAGCAATTTAGTAGCTAAGTTTAGCTTTAATATTGTAGAAAATGCCGTTTTTCCCGATTTGCCACGCCACTACTGAGCGTAGACACCTCTTTTTCGGTCAGTTCATAGAACTAGCTAACGGTAACCTAACTGCAAAACTTGGATGCTAACGCTCTAAAAATGTGAGAATAGCAGGATATTTTTCGATATACCACGCTTCTAAAAAAGCGTAACAATTATTTTATTTTGTTCATCGATAGAGGAGGTTACTAGTAACTTAACTATCCAAATTTGAAGCTTCTATCTTCAATAGGAGACAAAAACTTTTGTAGTTTGCCACGCCTCCTGTGGGCGGACATATTCCGCCTTAGCTCTTTGGTCTTGGGTGGTCTGCCCGAGTATATATATCACATTTCAGGTCTCTAGCATCAATACTGCCCAAAAAAATAGAATTTGAAAAATCCCTATATCTTGAGGTCCGACTTGCCACGCCCCTAGTGTGCGTAAACATCTAATTTAATCTTTATGGAATCAGAACATTAGCTCACGTGCCAAATTTTAACGTTCTAGCTTTAAAACTCTAGGAGATACAATTTTATCCGATTTTTCACACCCTCAATGGGCGTAGATATATCCGCCATAGCTCATGATCTTAGGTGGTCGACGCGGATCTAAATTTCAGCTTTCTAGCTCTTCAGCTAATATGATTTCTGACATATTGGAAAATGCATTTTTCGATTTGCCACGCCCCTAGTGGGCGGATTGGAAAAATTCTAACACTTTATAGTTGGAGATATACCCTAGTATATATTTCAAGTCTCTATCTTCAATAGCGCCGAATTAAACTACGTACGTTCATACTGACATCATACGGCAAGACGGACATTGCACAAAACCAATATACTCATTTCACTTTAGTGAATGAGAATAAAAATTTACATACCGGACAAAGAGACCGTAACGTGTGCTCCTTTTATTTCAACATTTACACCTTGTTTATGTACAGCAGTAGTGCTAAGTCAACTGATAATGAAACCGTTAAAAAAAGAGATAATATTTCAAATTCATTTCAAAAGGCCTTTGACTTAGGTCTTTTTAAATATAAATTTAAATATATTGTTGACGCCGAAAAGCAGTGAATGACGTTCAAGTCGACGCGACAAGTGCTTTGATTTCACTAGATCAAAGACTGTTTTTACTGCTGATTAAATATACAGATTTTGTACATTAAAATCGTCTGTTCCGCTGTAACAGTCGACTCTCTGTGGTCCATGCCATACGATGTGCTGTTAAATTAAAGTCGAAAGATTAAAAAGAAAACAACAACCAATCATACGATAACACATCTTTTGTTAATGATAATCATATATTATAAAATGAAAATTAAATATGTGATGTTCATTTCTTGCTTGCTTAATAACGATTAAAGTACCAAGTAGTGTATTATATACATATTATATGTGTTCTTTAATATTGTACAAATTTATAATTGTCACTTCTTTCCAGGTGACCGTAAAGTGAACAATTGCTTTTTTTCTATAGACATCGGGGAAGAGTGTATCTCGGATTACTTCTTTGTCCGCAGCCAAGATAAAAATGGAGCATTTGACTTAATGGTAGATGTAAAAAAAACACTTCTTACAGATGATCCGCTCCGAATTATTGCTATTTTTGAAACTGATAACGAAGTAACAACTAAGACTTACGATTTAGTCATTGATAGCCATGGAAATGGAAAATATATAAATGATCCAATTTTCGAAGAAGATTTTGATCAGACTTTTTCCCAGTGGACACATGAGATAAGACCTCGGATTTATGATCCTGAAAATGATCGTGAATTCGTGGCTTTTTAAAATAATACAAATACTAATTACATAAAAGATGGATATTTGCACATTGTAGCAAAGTGGGTTAATTACACGAACAATTTCCCATTTGCTGTAGATGGGTGCACATCCAGAAAAGTTAATCCATCTCGGGTAAACGATTGTGGGCCACAAAATCCACCTAAATATAAGTTACCCCCTGTGCACTCCGCAAAACTGCATACTTTTGGAAAGTTTAAATTCAAATATGGTAGAGTAGAAATACGGGCAAGGATGCCGATAGGCGATTGGTTATATCCATGTGAGTATGACTAATGGTGTGATCTATAGATAAACTCGAATGGATCAACATTTCTTAATCAATTTTCTTAGATTTGATACTGCAACCGATAAAATACCGTAGTGAAGAAAATTTTGTCAATCAATTACGTATTGCATATACTCGCAGCAATGCACTATTGCAAAATAGGAACTCAATTCCTATTAGTAGAGATCGACTCTTTGGAAGCGCTGTTCTTTGGAAATCAGGAAAATTCTCGGAATATGTTCATTTCAAGAAATACCAAACACCCAATGAACTAAGCCATGATTTTCACAATTACACTTTAAATTGGCACAAAGATCGCATAACATACAAGGTGGATAATATTACTTATGGCACGATTACAAATGCAACTGTTCTTAACGCGTTCAATTCAGAGGTAAGTAAATATTATGTCTGGAAAGTATTGAAAAAGAACCAATATATACTGAAATTACTTTGTATTAGCTAAAAAAGTTGTTATTTTCTATTAGAAAATTACCTGATTATTATTTTTTACATTAATTTTAATCAACTTTATTTTTTTATTTTTAGTGTTATATTGTATTGGGTCTGTCTGCAGCCGGAAATGTTAATTTCCCAGATTATACTGTTATGTCTAACCATAAACGGTTTTTAAATAACGATCCTATGGGGCCACATAAATTTGAAAGCTTTAATACAACTAAAGAAACGTGGACACAACCCAATCTTCTGATAGACTACGTTTACGTTTACAAAACTCACGGAACTGAAGAATAAGTGTCATGTTTCTCAAAATGTATTGATTTATATTCAATGGAGATAATAACAAGGGACAATAAATTCAGAGACGCCATGCTAAAAAATTTTCCCATTATTCTTTTTGGATCCGTTGTTTCGAGAGTTTTGTGTCGACTTCTTTTTACGCTTATCTGACGACCAGTCCACATCATCTTCGTCATCGGTACCGCCTGTATTGCCACCTGACTGAATGTATGTTGAAGTTGAGGAAGAGCTGGCACTAGCGCCCTCTTTAGTTGCCAACCGCCGACTAGCAATACGGGAAGAAATGCGTCCCATGCCCATGCATTTCTCCAAGTGTGGTGCAAATCGAGCCGCCGCTACTAATCTGTCACAATGTGGACAGGTACAGTCCATTGGTTTTTTTGCAGTTGATATGCCGAATATATCTAGATTTGGCATCTCACAAATCCTGTAAGCAGATTCTGCATTTTCTTCCCCGACTCCGTCGAGAGCCGTCAGATTGCCTGTCTTCCGTAAATGATGAATTTCTATAAAAATTCCTGCTACTACATCATCCAGAAGACCCTGAAATAAGTAGTTTGCAGCATCCTCTAATCCCTTTGGTTCCTTGATAAGTTCTCGAAAATTTAATGTTATGGCTGAGGCTGTCAAGTGACCCTGAGTTGTTGCCATTTGAGATGCACCTCCAGATGAACTCAGATGCGTGTGGGTCGCATTTGAAGCGGACATATTATGTTTAAGCAATTACGTTGGATATTTTATTTGGTAATTCTTTTGCCATATACTACATTATCGAGTGTGTTTGTAATGTTAACTTTTTGTAGGTTACAAAATGTCTTATTAAAAGAAGCAAGCGGTTTGGACAGGAATTAGGGATACAAAAATCGACTCAATGTTAGATGAGTAAATTAATTGATTTAATACTATCGATATGACAGTGAGATGACTAATCGATATATAAAAAAAATATGTTAGCTTTTATTTATTAAAGTAACACCACTAGCAAGAGAACACATAGACAGTGATGTCATTTCCGCTTTTTTGCCGTCAGATTTGGCTTTTTTAAAGGTGCGATCGCGGGAAAAATTTGAAAACAGCGGGCAGCGGGAATTCCAGTTTTTTTTAGCAAATTCAAACCGCTTTTTTTCAAAGTAAATTTTTTCTAAATTTTTACAGCTGTTTTAACGATTTATATGTTAATAATATATTTTACGTAAAGTATCGATATTTACTTTAATCGACTAACCTTCTCTTAAAAATTCATACCGATATTGGCGCGTTATCTTCTCTAACATTGTGAAATTCGTTTGCGTAGTAAATCATGCCGAAGGATGTTTATAAGCAAAAAGTGCGAGATGTGTGGCTGCGGGCCACAGAACTCAAGGATTGGCTGAGGAAGGACCCCACAGACGCTACACGGGCGTATTGCAGTTATTGCAATTGCACAATAACTGCCAAATTAAGTGACTTGCAAGCGCATGTGGCTACAAAAAAGCACGCAGGCTCAATGGAGGGCTATGTGCAAAAAAACAAATTATCTTTTGTTCAATTGCCCACAAAGACAATTGAGCAGGAGGCAGCGCTTTGTCTATTTGACAAGGATATGATTTATGATGTTTAATAAAAATACCTATAGTTTGGTATTCATATACATATGTAATTAGAATCAGCTTTTTTGTTAGCCTTTTTCCCTTGAATCCAGCTTTTTTCAGCTTTTTTTTTTGCTTGATCCAGCTTTTTTTGCTCAGAAAAAAATGACATCACTGCACATAGGCTAGACATGTAGCACTATTAAAAGACACAATCGTGGACATTAGGGCTTCAAAACCATCGATAGAGGTTACCCTCGATAGATTTATCCATCGATGGAATGAACCATTGATACTATCGATAGTTCCATCGAAGATTTTAAGTTCTTACAAATAAATAAATTTTCAATAATTTCGATCATACATCCAGCATAAAATGATTCGTGCAATTTTGTATAATTTTGTGATGGCAAAAAAATCATTGTTCGATTATTTAATCATATGATTTATTTTAGGTGCTTTAAAGATTAATTGCAATTAATCGCGGAAAAATGGAAAAATCGATTAATCAAATGATTTTTTTAAATGCGCTTAATTTATTTTGTATAAACTCCTTTTAGAAGCAACAATATCAACAAGAACAGTAAAGAATATAAATGTTTATTTATTTAAAATAAAATTAAGAAATAGTAGTTGCGAAAGGTGCTCTGTTGTTAACCTGTTCCTTTTTTCGGTTAATGTGGCATCCGCCTTGGAAAAAAGACGTTCCGCTGGTACCGAAGTGCCTATTAAGAAACAATACCGACAAAAAAAAATCTCCACACTTTACTAATTGTTGGTGCCATAATTACGCTTCGCTTTCCAACTTTTGCGCGCCAATGTTGCTTATAGCGATGCGATTTTTTGAGCAAATCATCGATTGTCTCGATTATTGAAAACCCATTTTGCGATACAATTAAATCGTGAATTGAAAGAAAACAATCGATTATTGTGTATCAAATGATTAATCGTGCCATCACTATGCATAGTAATCGGATATTTATGTGATGGTTGTATATCTAATAAAATATATATTGTATTACATATGGGCAAAAATGTAGTAGTACTAGCAGCAGCAGTGGAAGACTTAGAATTATCAAAGTACGCCACAGTAGAACGCGAAGCAGAAGCGCCATCTTAAATGTATATAATATAATAAAAAACACACTTGCACTTTAAACATCAGTTTCATGCTTAATTGTTGGCTTTAAAAATTTATCCATACATTCTTTTTACGGAGACACCAAATATCATTGATAGCTATAAAATCTAATCACAATATAATAATATAAACTTAATGTATATATATATATGTTATGTTATATATGTATATTCCGGAAAGTGCTTACATGCGTCTCTTCGCGCCACCTAATAGTAAATTTTCGATGGATAAAAAAACCATCGATATATCATGAGAGCCCACATCCATCGATGGATTTGCAGCCCTAGTGGACATGTAGTACAATTTTTTTCAACGACGCAATTTTTTTCAAGAGACCAGACAGCTTCGTATTTGCTCGGCTCGGTCTTTTGAGGTTAGTGGTGCTACTATTTATTGTAAGATATCGATTATTTTGCAACCCTTCCTGATTTCTGCTAAACAACTGCATTGCATATACATTTTCCATATCACGTATAAATGAAATGACACTTAATAAAAAATATGAGACTTACAAAAATTTAACAGAGAAAATATACACTAAATGTCTGCAAATACAAACAGAAAATGAACGCAGCATTATGAGGTAAGAATAACCACCGACTCATTTTATTACTTTAAAATTTGAAATTCGACTTTAAAAATTACAGAGTAAATGAAATAAAAAAATTACTACGCCGAAGAACATACGATGTGATGTTATTAAAAAATAAACTGGACAAACATGGTGATAATTGGCGTTCGATACCAATGATGGTACCACAACCGAAGGGAAAGCCTGAACAAAAACGTCGTGGACCAAAACCTAAAAGTAAACACGTAGTTTCAAATGCAGCAGCCGAAGTCAAAGATCCTACACCTCGTAAGCCCAGAAAACAGCGTATGAAACCCCAATCAAATAATCTTCAAATACGGACACAACTATCTATAGCTACAGCTTAAAATTCCTTCGAATTGCGTTTCTGCTATATAAATTACAATAATTTGGAGTACTTATATAAATAAAAACAAATTTAAAGACTACATTGATTTGAAAGTGATTGAAATCCCAAACTACTCAGCTTGTCGTAAACGCGCAAGGCGCTGTGTTAACTCATCCTGCTCTTGTGAGATTTGCGTAGAGGCACCAATGGTAGAACTTTGCACACCGCTCGGCAGCTCCATATTAAGTTCAAGACCTGCTTCGTCGGCGACCTGTTGCAATAAATTATCAACATCTCCTTGAGGCACCGACGTAGTCACAGTATCGGACATAGTTCCCTCCATTACTGAGCTTTGTACATCCAAGTCTTCAAATTGTGATTCGAATTTTTCCATAAGCGACGAAATTTTTTCTAGATTCATGCCTTTCATGGCAGCATCCATGGCTTTAACTACGCCAGCCATTGAGCTAGTAACTTTGCGTGTTGTTAACGCTGATTGCACGCGACTGGCAACAGCATCTACGCGAGCGCTCATCCTCAGGTAATTTACGGCCTGATTCTTTTGTCGTATGGCATTTTCAGCATGAATGCGAGCCACATCCATATTACCCTTTTGTATAGCTTTTTTAGCTTTTGCTTTTTCTAGTTTTTCCTCTTTTTCGCATTTTTTCGAATTGCGCTCTAGATCTTTCACAGCGAACTTCAAATTGAAAAGATGTTCTATAGAATTAATGGGTGTGGATTATTATTTAGGATTAAATTGAGTCTATATTAAATGAGTACTATACTTACTTTCCATTGCAGATGTCGACATGTCGTTACCCAGTTTGATGCCTTTATTGCTGACGCTGCTAAAAATATTTTGTCTAATAATTTTTGTTGACTCAGATATCTTTTTATATTTCAGTCGATTGTACTGACTTAATGAATCACTTGTTAGTCCGACAGCTGCAGTTGCAACATATATCGATATTGCGCCACAGTGAGATTATTTAATATCGATTTCAAGTATTTATCGAATATATTTTTTTATAAATAATTAATAGTTCCAATCCAATTTGTATAAAAATCCAAATGCGGTAAGCTAGGTTTCAGAAATCCTATACACCTATGTACATATTTTAATTCTGAAATTATTTTAAGTGTTGCATAACAGCACTGACCAGAGAACACATAGACTAGACATTAGGGCTGCAAAACCATCTATAGATGTTCCCCTCGATAGATTTATCCATCGATGGAATGAACAATCGATAGTTCCATCGAAAATTTGAAGTTCTTAGAAATGAACAAATTTTCAATAATTTAAATCATACATCCAACATAAAATGATTCGTGCAATTTTGTATAAGAATACAATACAAAAGTAATCGGATATTTGTGTGATGGTTGTATCTATATATATAAAAGAGAGTTGTGTAAAAGTGTACAGAGACTTATAACTTGATATGTGCTGGACCAATTTTCATGGTTTTTGATTTGTTGGATTTGTCTCCGCCACGAGTAGGATTGTAGATCTTAAAAATACTGAAAAAATTTGACGATTACTTGAAAAACGCGGTTTTTTCCCTAAAGATTCAAATTTCCATTGATACTCAGTAGCCTTGACAACAGTGACAGTTTTCGGTCCTGCTCTCATATTATACAATAGTATTTGTTTGTCTCAAACATAAATTTGTGTAAGTTATTTACATTTATATTTCTCGATTGTTTTATATGGTTTTGTGCGAGGGCAGTATTACTATTAATAAAAATGCCGCGTCCTAGAAGATCTAATCCTTCCCGGCGGACCCATGCAATTAGGCATCGGAATATCGCGAGTCAATTATCTGACGAAGAGCGAGAAATCGCCCGAGAAAGGCGCCGCGTTAGTACCCAGCAAAGAAGGGCCTTAATTCGTGCTTCTCAAAGAGAGGCAGCCCATGAAACGGCAATAAGAAATGGTTCAAGGATTGATTTGAATCGAGCAGCGTTTCGATATGATTGCACCATTGACTACAGCTTGAATCGTTTAGTTTGCATTGGTCCAATAGACGTTGTTTGCCAGCATTGTGGCGCATTGAAGTTTGCTGGTGAAAAGCCCGGTTTGTGCTGCCTTAGTGGTAAGTGACATTGCCATTAGTGGTCCCGCCACCAGAGCCATTGCGTTCCCTACTTTTCTAGCGAGCACTCAAAAATACAATGTCTGTTTCCAAATGACTTCATTTGGGGCGAAAATTATTGATGAACACGGATATAATCCAACAATCGATGATGTGGCAATCCTATTTGTTGCTGAAAACTTGGAAGCACGTGATATTGTGCTTACACGACGCAATACTGGGCAACTACAAAGAATATATGAAACGCACCGTTCATATGACGCGTTTCTATACCCGCTGATGTTTTGGCAAAGAGACGATGGATATCACTTTTATATCAAAATGATTAATCCATTGAATGGTAAGATCAATATCATTGATTTCATTTTAACTTGATATACATTTTATTGTTTGCTTTTGGTACACAAAAAAAGTTGTCACTCTTAATTTAGTAGAGAATAGCTTATTAGGGGTTCCAAAATACAATTTTTACTGTATTTGTTTCAGGTGGGGAAACTACCAAGAACTTTAGTTCGATGAATTATTACGCATATTGTTTGATGATTCGTGAAAATTCTAACAATTATCTATATTAATATTTTTATACCCTGAACCCATTTTCAATGGGAAATCAGGGTATAATGGTTTTGTTGAAATGTATGTAACAGGCAGAAGGAGGCGTGGCAGACCCCACAAAGTATATATATTCTTGATCAGGGCGACGAGCTGAGTTGATTTGGCCCTGTCCGTCTGTCTGTCCGTCTGTCCGTCCGTCCGTCCGTCTGTCCATCTGTCCGTATGTATGAACGCGTCGATTTCAGAAGATATAAGAGCTAGAGACTTCAAATTTTTTATAATGTCCGTAATTACAGCGCGCATATCAAGTTTATCATTAAAAACCGATAACTCATCCCGATCTTTTTTTTATCGATAAAAACCCATATCGAAAACCAGTTATAAAATTATATCTTCTACACCTTTATTGCTAGAGTCTTCAAATTTTTAATGTATGCTTATATGCAATTTATACAATTTCGGTTTTTGTTAAAATTTACCCCTCACCCTTAAATTCACCCCCTCACCCTCACTTTTGTAAAAAGCGTATTTCAAATACTAGAGACTTGTGCTTTGGCAATTACACAAAAAAAGTTAATAAGCAATTAAGTTCTCATAGTAAGCGCTCACTGCCGCCCATGCGTGTTTATGCTTGTGTGTGTATATGTATGTAATTGTTTGTGTATGTGTGTGTGTGTGTGTGTGTGTGTGTGTGTGTGTATGTATGTGTGTTTATGTATGCCTGTGTGTCGTGCGTGCGTGTGTGTGTGTGTGTGTGCGTGTTTCTTGTGTAAGCTGAAAGACGCGAAAAATTATTGAAATAGCTATTACTCCAAGGGTTCAGGGGATCTCGTAGTCGAGTAGTCTCGACTAGAGCTTTCTTACTTGTTTTGTATTATTGTATTACGTTCATAGAAGCCTAAATTAGTTCAGCTAAAAGGTAACACGACATTACTTACTGATTTTAATATAAAAATTTGACAGCTCCGAAATTAAAGAACTTTTAGGGAAAATAACGTATTTTTCAAGTATTCCCAAATTTTTCAGTATTTTTAAAATACATACTGCTATTCGGGGCAGAGACAAATCCAACAAATCAAAAACCATGAAAATTGGTGCAGCAGATCTCGAATTATAAGTTTTGTAACAAACTCGACTTTGTTTTATATATATAGAGACTGTTAGGCGGTACGAAGTTCGCCGGGACAACTAGTATCTAATAAAATATATATTTTATTACATATGGATAATTGTTAATAAATGCAAATAATTAAATTCTTTTTTATATGCTTCAAGCCGTTTATATCATTATTATATGGTATTTAAAGTAGTTTCGTCTTAACAATATAAAATGAAAATAGGTCTTAATACAAAAAAGGTACATGATTACATTTTTAGATGCCTTTGATACAAAAATTATAAAATACAAAAAAGGTACATGATTACATTTTGAGATGCCTTTGATACAAAAATTATAAATATAAAGTAATTTCTAGAAAAAAAAACACACACACACACACACTTGCACTTTAAATATCAGCTTTACGCTTTCTTGATGGCTTTTAAAATTTATCCATACTTTCTTTCTACGAAGAACCACCAAATATATATTGGAAATATTGCTATAAAAGTTAATTACAATATAATAATATTATCAACTTAATGTTTATACATATGTATATTCCGGAAAATACTTACATGCGTCTCTTTGCGCCATCACTAACCAGAGAACAGCTATTTAAATTAAAGGCGACTCTTCTTCAAACCTAAAATCGTTCACCCCATTAAAAGTTGAGGTAGGCACACGCCAATGTTCATCTCCCAAGCATACAAACAAAGATATACACACACGCACATGTAAAGGCACACAGGCATACAAATGCTCATAGTACATGTAACAAGCGAGAGTGTGTGTGTGCATGCTCATCGCGAAAACATCTTTATGCGCACCAACGCTTTCATACCCTTCCCAAAAATAATAACGAAAACCCAAATATTTTGTACGAGCTTGGTAAACGGTTTGAAGAGTTCGGAATACTCTTCACACGTAAGGGAAGAAACGGCAGTCTAATAGTGCTGTAAAACTATCGATTGAACTATCGATCTATCGAATATTTATATTTCTGCGTCCATATCGATTGTTTTTTATACTATCGATAGAGATGATATCGTACGTTGCACATCAATTACTTTGGCGCAACTTCGCAAGTCGGCGGCTCTTTTTGATAAGGAGCAATTAAGTATAAAAATAAGTATTTATTTGTAGGTAAATTTTCGTTGGTGTTGGTGGCTGGACAGATTATCACGGAACGACGAGCTGCCTTAAAAGCTAAGTATGTAGACATGCTTGTCTTTCTTAATCATAACTCTTGGATCTTGGCAGAAGAGTAAAAGCCATGCATTTAATTTTAATTTTATCTAAATTTTTTTTTGTTATAGTCCATGAAGGATCTCATTATTGTTT